GAAGTCATTCAATGCAATACAAAATCAACGCTAATAAATTTATATGAATCAATCTACGACAAACCATTTTTTCCAAGTTATGACATATCGATGTCATAAGTACATACCCTCGTGAAATGAACCTTGGATCACCCACTAAACTCACTACATACAATACCAAAATCACTATGGGGGCTCTGCCCCCATAGCAAATTCACTACGGGGGTTCATGCCCCCATTGCTCCCATGGTTCCGGCGCCTATGGAAGCCTTACATTTTTATATTTATATAATTGTATAGCAAAATACTATAATGGCATAAAACAAAAAATATTATGTATTGGGTACCTACAATACATCTTTAGTTTCATAGATCTAACTCAAGCTTCAAAAGCTAGAAGCTAGTTCTTAAGTTTCACTAGAAAGTGACAAAAGACATGTGAATATTTTTACAGAAAACAAACTATAACTACCTACTACTAGTACTACTAATAATCTAACTAACTACAACCTTATTTCTATAACTACTAACTAACTACAACTTTATGTCTATAATTACCTAGTAACTACAGTCTTATTTCTAAATGGGCAATATTGTGAATTTTGTGATGGACCTTATTTAGGTTCCATTTTGAGTTTTAACCTCTATGACTCTCACCTTTCCATCCTTCCCTGGCATTACTTTTAAAATGCGAGCCATTGGTCACTTTGGAGAAGGAATATTATCTTCCTTTAACAGAACCAACATACCTTCTTGGACATTAGGTACTTCAAAGCGCCACTTAGGCCTAGACCAATAGAGCCAAATAATCCTTGTGCCTTTTAACCCCAAAGTGTTGTTGCATTTGGTAACAAAGCTTCCAAAATTTGAGCCTATTTTTTGGAGTATTAGTACAATCAGGTTCAGGCAAAGCAGTAATTGGTTGCCCAATCAAAAAATGGCCGGGCGTTAAATATGACAGATCTGAAGGATCATTTGTCATTTGTGTGAGAGGACGCGAATTTAGAATTCCCTCAATTTGAACCACCAAAGTGTTAAATTCTTCATACGTTAATTGAGAATTATCAGCAGTTCTTTCTATGTGAAACTTGGCACTTTTGATCCCAGCTTCCCACAAACCGCCAAATACTGGAGAATAACTGGGAATAAAATGGAATTGAACATTTTCTTCCAGACACGAATGATTGATATAATTTTTATTTTGTTCATGGAAAATATCATGATGTTCGTCAATTCTGTTTTTTTGCTCCTTTATCGCACCATTATCACAAAAAATCTCAGTGGGTCTGCCACGTCGAGATATGAATCTTTTCAAAGCTGCCAAAAAATATTCAGTGGTTAAATCCGACAAAACTTCTAAATGAACAGCTTTAACAGCGAAACAAACAAATAAAGTGATGTAACCTTTTGTTAGGATAGTTTTTCTTATTCGAGATTGTTTTAGATTGAAAGGACCACAAAAGTCTATGCCAAACCTTCTCGAATAGCCTTGATGAATTAACTCGACCTTTGGGTAGTGACCCCATTAATTGATTAGAACAATGGGCTTTAGATTTGAAATATGTAACGCATTCATGGATTCTTAATTTCTCTTTTTCCGTTTATTAACCAAAATTTCAAATTAAGAGAACTCAAAATTTGCTTTTGACCAGCATATAACAATCTTAAATAATGGTAATTATAAGATCAGTTAGGTATAGAATTGTTTTTGGCTAGAAGTATTGGGTGTTTCTGATCATATTCAATATTTGCATTATGCAACCTCCTTCTACACGGAGAATACCTTCTTTGTCCAGAAATGGGAATAAAGAATTTATATTTGAGTATTTAATTGAAATTTTGTTTAAGAGACATTTAAATTCTTCAGAAAAACATATACAGGGTGTCCCAGGGAAAACAGTCCACCCCGATTCATTGGATTTGGGATGAAAATATGAAAAAACGCTCGGACACGTCGATTTTTTATTTGAGGGGGAACTATTTTTCAGTTTTTTTCATCCCAGTAGCTTTAACCCCCTAGCTGGGGGGAGAATAACCCCCCAAATTTGAATAGGGAATAGGGGTCATCCAGTTCTTTATGACCCTAGAATTTTGTCTCATTATTTTCATCCGTAACGAAATGACAGCTTGTCAAAATGTTGGAATAGACTATTAGTTTTAGTGGGAGTAAAAGCGATACTTACCTCCCTTAATAAAAATACTTGAAATTGAAGTTTTTTATTATTATTATTATTAATGAGGTGTACACGAGAATTGTGAATTGTAGGTATTTTTACTCGTATTTTTATTAAGGGAGGTAAGTACCGCTTTAACTCCTACTATTTCCAAGATTTTGACAAACTGTCATTTCGTTACGGGTGAAAATAATAAAATGAAATTCTAGGGCCATAAAGAACTCTATGAGACCTTTAAAAAGAGGTATGACACGACCCCGATCCCCTATTCAAATTTGGAGGATTGTTCTCCCCCTAGCTAGGGGGTTGAAACTACGGGGATGAAAAAAAACTGGAAAATAGTTCCCCTTCAAATCAAACGTCGACGTGTCCGAGCGTTTTCCCAGATTCTCATCCCAAATCCAATAAATCGAGGTGGACTGTTTTCCCTGGGACACCCTGTATTTTGTTCATGCTTGATAATTTTTTTTAGAGAATAAGCAATCTCTGAAACAGAAAGGTTACCATAAACTTTGTTTCTATTTTTAACATTGTTCACAAATCTTAGCATATAGGCTACTACTTTTTGGAGCTCATAAATGCTAGAATAATATTTTAAGAAAGCTTTCAGGCTTGACTGCTGTCGAAAGAACAAAAAAATTATTTTGTTCCGGTAATGGATCTGGAATATTAAAAGCTTGATTTATGTGTAAAAAATCTAAATTAGATAAAAATTTTGGTCCATAATACCAAAGATCATTGTCAATCATTTGCGACGGATCTAAGCCTCTTGAAAGAATATCCGCAGGGTTCTCTTTAGTATTAATGTATAGCCAAGAAAAGTTGTTAGTTAAATTTTGAATTTTCATTATTCGAAGAGCAACATACGGGTTTAACTTCATAGGATTGGATTTTATCCAAGCTGAAGTAATATTAGAATCGGAGTATAACATAACTTGATCTACCTATTATATAAAGTACCGCTCCATAGGCTACAGTGGAAGCATCACAGTAACCAACCAATTCAATTTTTGTGGCATTTGCAAAATACAAATATCGGGATATCTGAATATTAGGCATTTTAGAAAAATTAGAAAGAAAGTCTTTCGAATTATTTAACAAATCGTTGGGCAAAAAATCGTCCCACTTTCATTGTTCATAATTTCTGCATAAATAATTTGGCTGTCACCAAAATGGGTCCTACTAATCCTAGAGGGTGGTAAAATTTAGAAATAAAACTGAGGACTTGGCGTTTAGTTAGACAATTATTGAAATCTGCTTTGGTAGGGGAAATTTCAAACATATCGCTATTTGGAATGTATGATAAACCAAGGGTTTTCACAACTGAATCACCTTTGTCCATATCAACTTCGTTAAGCTGGCATTTTTCTGTTGGAATATCATTCAAAATAAATAGGAACTTCGTTACTACACCATTCATGTAACTCAAATGAGCTCATTTTTAAAAGATTTATCAATTCATTTTTTAATCTTATGGTATCTTCAATACTATCTGTCCCCGTCAAGACGTCATCGACGTATGTATTATTTAAAATAGCATTTGATGCTAAAGGAAAATCAGAACCTTCATT